AGAACCCTCCCTCCCAGTTCAGGTTACTGTGTGCATTTAAAGATGGCAGAACCCTCCCTCCTTCCTAGTTCAGGTTACTGTGTGCATTTCAAGATGGTAGATCACTGTAATAAACTTCTTTTGAAGAGTAACTTAAATTCAAAAATCAATGATGACTGTCATTTATTGTATATAAATATTATGTTTTATTTCATAAAGTAATATTTTGTATAAATTGTTTAGGGTTAGTTGGTTTAATGACTCCCTAAATTGACCTGTGAATGGAAAATTAACAAAAGAGAAAAGAGTTTATATAGATATGCGTAATGACAGTTAATGCTGAAATCGTTTCTATGGCTATAGTAAATTTTCCACAATTTACAAACCAATACTCTATGAAAACTGATTTTGGAATACCATACTAGTAAAATATAGAGGAATGGAGCATAATAGAACAGTCCAGAGAATGATAAAGAATAGAATTGAGTCATGTTGGGAGCTAGTCAGAATTATGCCACTACAATAATACTACACACTAAATAAAATCATCATAACTCAGGATAATAGTCACTTTAAAATACAATTAAGGCAGCTACAAGTATTACATTTTGATTATCAGCAAAAATGATAAATATTGGCAGGTGGGGGGTAGGGTCATAGTTTTCTGTCTAAACAAGATAAGATATTTTTTTTTTTTAAATTTGGCACAAAATGCTGTTTATTATCATAGTGATGTGTGAAGTAAGCCAGAATGAAAATTAGCATACTGTATAATTGTTCATACATGTCCATAGCCCAAGGAAAGTTGTCTTTACATAAACTTGAAATGTAGGAAATTAACGTGCATATAAGAACTTCTGTTGAAGCTCCAGTCTAGAATTTGGGTGTGTTAAAATACCGAAGTAAATATAAAATAATCACTTTTAGATCTTAAACAAAGACAAATCTACTGATAAACCCAATCAATGCCTAGCAGGATATCAAGAACACAGTTTTATGTGTGTGTCAGCTCATCCAATGGTGTTGACAGAATGCAGCAGTTGCTTGAAAGTTTTGCGAGAAAAAAAACGCACAAAATATATTTTCTGTGAATACTGGTAGGCAAGAACAGCAGCCTGACTCACTTATTTGTAATAGTATCTCCAACAAGCAGCCTCTCGGCTGAGATAGCTCCGCTGTTAGCAATGCACATTTCAATTAAAGAACAGAAGATAACAATATGCATAGTATCAATGCAATGGGACTTGCTATTTTCAACAAGAATTCAAAAATATCATTTTTCATCATAAATGATTGTGGTTTTTAACAAGAAGAAAATATCACTTTTTACCAAAAATGACAAAAATATTCACCAAAATTAGAGAATTGACGATATCATTACAAAATGAACAAACTTGAGAGTGGTCCACATGTAGTACCTATATATGTAATATCAAAGCAATTGGACTTGTGGTTTTTAACAAGAAGTCAAAAATATCACTTTTTACCAAAAATATTCACCAAAATTAGAGAATTAAAGATATCATTACAAAATGAACAAATCTGAGAGAGGTCCACATGTAGTACCTATATATGTAATATCAAAGCAATTGGATATCAAATATACGTCCATCGTCAACATTTTTTGATTATCTTGCATATCCTCATAGTGTAACATCCATAGAAATTTGCAATTTAAGATTGTTTTCCTCTAGATCAGTGGTGTTGTTTGTTGATAGAATTGTTAAAATAATGAAATTTGTGCACGCAAGACATAGAAAACTGTAAAAATAATACTGATTCATCTTCCTCCAAAGCCCTTTCTTTATCTATAACTAAGATACATCAATGATGGGGAAAACATCTTAAGGCACCAACAAAGCATCCTGATATTGTCAAATGATATACTAATTTAAAGGAAGTAAATATTTCATTTCCAATGAAACTTTGCATAATAAAAGTCACCTGTAGTTAAGCAGTCTACTTCACAATGTAATTGCGACACCATGGTTTGCTAATTCATTGATAGTGCATGAAACATTGTTGAAGAGCTGGCGAGGTACACAATGAGATGGATCATTCCATTATATATGATATAGAGGTGAATTGTCAGACTATAACATATTGTTTAAAAAATAAAATTAAAAGTATTAAATAAAACTTGAGGTAGTGTATGGCGATGTATCACTGGAGATGTACATTGTTGTATCTATAATATTCCATTACTTATGAGGGGTGTCACGCAAGTTATGATTGTACAAGTTTATACAAATATCTATGTGAAGTTTTCCTTGAATCAGAATGGAATTGTGCAAGATAATCTATTCCAAATAAGTTGTAATTGGAACGTTTTAAACAGATTATTTGCCCTTTGCCAGTCTTGTGCTTCTACCAACCCCAGCTGATGATGGTCTAGTGGAGCGGGTTGGTATCCTGCGAGTTGGACTTGTTCGCTTTTTAGCCTGCTGCTGTTCTTGCCTCTCATGAAATGCTGTGAAGCTGTGACTGGAACTTCCAGTTGAATTGCGCCTTGGAAGAGGAATATGTGAAGGGCTTGGAAGTGGACTTGTTCTTGGTGATGGACTCATTCTTCCTGGCGAGGGACTGGCTCTTCCAGGAAGGGTTGGGCTGTTAGGAATTCTTCGAGTTGGGCTGCAGAAAAACAAAACACAAAATTCGTGTGAACAAATGTTAAACATTGATAAAGTTTTCTAATGTTAAATAGTCATTATGAGCAGTTGTCAAAATGTCCAAAAAAACGTAAGAGTATAATAACAGTGTAAAAAATATGGTGGACATCCATGTTAGAAATGCTGGACATGATGTCTGTATCCCTTAGCCTAGTCAAAGCAATCCTTTAAAATAAAAACAAGCAGCCTATCGGCTGAGATAGCTCCGCTGTTAGCAATGCACATTTCAATTAAAGAACTGAAGACATCATTAGAAAATGAACAATATGTATAGTATCAAAGCAATCGGACTTACAGTTTTTAACAAGAAGTCAAAAATATCACTTTCTATCAAAAATGACCAAAATATTCACCAAAATTAGAGAATTGAAGATATCATCATGAAATGAACAAATCTGAGAAAGGTCTACATGTAGTATCTAAATATGTAATATCAAAGCAATTGAACTATTGGTTTTTAACAAGAAGTCGAAAATATCACTTTTTAACAAAAATTACAAAAATATTCACCAAAATTAGAGAATTGAAGACATCATCACAAAATGAACAAATCTGAGAGAGATCCACATGTAGTACATATATATGTAGTATCAAAGCAATTGGACTTGCGGTTTTTAACAAGAAGTCGAAAATATCACTTTTTACCAAAAATGATAAAAATATTCACCAAAATTAGAGAATTGAAGATATCAACATGAAATGAACAAACCTAAGAGAGGTCTACCCAAGGTACATATACACCAAGTATCAAAGCATTCAGGCTTGTAGTTTTCAAGAAGAAGTCAAACAAGTAAAACATTGACACGGACGACGACAATGACGGACAATCACTCATATGATAAGCTCCGCTCGACAAAGTCAACAGCGGAGCTAATAACAAGCCATGCATGGCACAGTCCCAGTTAGTTATCAAATTTAAGATGTATAGTTTTGTTTAAAGTAATATAGCTGGAATATAACCATGTCAGAAATATGATTTTTTAACATTAAATGGATTGACATTTGTATCTGATCGTCAAACAAGTACTTTTCCATATTGAGAGATATTGCTCTGGAACAGCATTCAAAATCAACCATTTTGAATACATGTATATATATTACATGATGTATAACGAATATATAAAATTTGAACATAATCAGTCAAAGCATTTAAGAGACATGGCTCTAGAAGCCCAATCATTAAAACAAAATGGCCGCCAATCTGCCATTTTGAATCCAATCTGAAAAATAAAATGACGTGCATCAGGAACCCGTAATGTCTAATGTATGTACCAAGTTTGAACGAAATCCATCCATAAATGCCAGAAATGCTTGATATTTGATAGTTTTTTAACACAAAAATAGCCACCATTTGGCCATATTGAATAGGATCGTCGAACCAATATATCTGTTTATCTATGACATGATGTATAATGAATATTTAAAATTTGAACATAATCAGTCAAAGCATTTAAGAGACATGGCTCTAGAAGCCCAATCATTAAAACAAAATGGCCGCCAATCTGCCATTTTGAATCCAATCTGAAAAATAAAATGACGTGCATCAGGAACCCGTAATGTCTAATGTATGTACCAAGTTTGAACGAAATCCATCCATAAATGCCAGAAATGCTTGATATTTGATGATTTTTTAACACAAAAATAGCCACCATTTGGCCATATTGAATAGGATCGTCGAACCAATATATCTGTTTATCTATGACATGATGTATAATGAATATTTAAAATTTGAACATAATCAGTGAAAGCAAGTCAGAGATATGGCACGAGAACCACATTCATTAAAACAAAATGGCCGTCGCCTTGATTTTTAGGATTTTTTAGCACAAAAATGGCCGCCATTTGGCCATCTTGAATCAGATTGTGAAACAAATTGACGTACATATGTATGATGTACATGTATGTGTGAAGTTTGATTGTGATTAGTCCAGGCATTTCTAAGATACAGGTCCGGACGCACGCATGCACGGACACACGGATGTCAAAACATAAGTCCCAGTTTTCGGACTGCGTCCGAACGGGGACTAAAAATTGCATGTACATAATGATATGCAAATTGCATGTACATAATGATATATCATGTACAATGATTATTCAACAACATTTACATAAACATCAGGCATCATACTTTGCTGAGGCTTTGGGTACACAGACAGTGGTGTAACTAATGGTGGTATGGATGTCTGATCTATTACCCACAATGCTTAGGATGGTGTACATATACATCTAGGGTCACTACAGGTCAAACAATATTTATTCAATGTGAAACTCAACATACCTTCTCCACTTATTTTTTTGCAAATAAAAAAATAATTTGAAATAAAAAGCAAATTAGTACCATTATTATTCATCATTAGCCTAAAATTGATAAAATACTGGTACTAAAATAAACATTATCATGCACTTAGCAAAATATTATCTTGAGTTTTGTTACCATGACAATGATGAAGTAGATAATATAGTAGGTATTGCCATGCAGAGCAGTAAAGAATATACGAGACTAAGCAAATAAAGACATGCATTGAAAAAAATCAAAACTTCATCACAATTCTGAATCCTGATTTACATTTATTTTTCATTAAATCCAAACCCCAAAACTAACTTTGCACAGTTGCTGCTTGTTTGGGTTAGGAGATCGTGGGATGACATCACATTTAATTTGAAGTGCTTTTTTGTTTGTTTTAGAATCATTGGTTATCCTGTTTAGCTTAAAGTAAGAAGAAGAAGCAGTAAAAACTATTAAACTTCATGTTACCACTGAGCATAGCATCTCACTCACATACACACTTGTAATTTGGCAGTTTAGATAAGGGGTCTATTTACACATTAGCATCCCTAGCCCAGCACTTGGAGGTACAATATATTCACAATACACATAACAACTTGCCGTCCACTATTTATTTAAAATAAGGCGCTTTTTACAACTTGGCATCCTTAGCTTACTTGCCAACATGCCAATGTAATGTAAATACTTATCTTTAATTTAAAATACGACTGTTGTTTTTGTAGAAACATCGGCCAAGTTTGGTATCAAGAGTGACAGTGGGTTTTCTGAGATGCGATAATATAATATCTATCAACGTTAAACAAGATGAACTAATTTAACCAGACCTTATCAATCAATATATTTAGTTTCCTTTGAGTAACCATTTTAGAACACATATCCCTATTAAAGTGTAACTACCATACTTGCTCTATTAGAATCATACACTGTTATTATAAATCTTTATTGCAAGATTAACATACAATAATATGAGGTTATCATTAGAATACCACAAAGTAAGCACAAAGACAGTACAGTCTCCACTATCAATGCAACCCACAATGCCGCAGTGCATACTTTGAGGTATTCCTGTGATAACCTCATAATAATTTATTGAGAGAATATAGCAACAGTTTATCTTTACGAATGCCATAAAATTATCAAATCATGAAAATTTATAGAAGAAAAAATTGAGCTGTTTACAGTATATAATAGTAGGCACACAAAAATACAGTCTCTGATCCATCTCATTCATGGGAGTACATGTGCTGCTAATAGAGCTAATATGGTCATGTTTGTACACACTCTAACCTGGCATTAAATAGGTAGAAAATAATTATAAAACATGTTACAACTGTGAAGTGAATGAGAAAAGATTAAGAAGGGAGATGTTACCTTGGTGATCCTTTCATTCTGGCTCGTGATAAACTCTGCAAATACAAAGTTAACAATATTACCCACAATTCATAACAGTTTGATGAGGCAAACACCCATAATAACATCACATATCACAAAGTATGCAAAAAGGCAGTACATTTATGGTGATAATATCAACATAGGTTGTCATTCCATACTACATTAGTATTTGCAGTATTTCTGTAATAATAATATGCATGAAATTTAGTTATGTGTTTGAATATGATATGATTGCGATGCACAAGTCAACAAATAACATGGCTAACATGTTTTTCCTAGTCTGTTGTTACTTACTGGTGATTGTTTACTTGTAAAGTTCATCTGTGCATATAGAAGTACACCGATATCACGATGTCCTGCCTCCATGGCTATTGCTAAGGCACTGCTTCCGTCCTGCAACACAACAATCATCAAGTTTTAAAACTTTTCTAGCAGAAAAGTTCAAATGAAAAAAATTAATAGAAAATTTGTGCTATAGGGGTTGGTGACACATCTTTTATCAATGGGAGTGGGCAACACATCCCATACAAAAACATATCCATTCGAGTAGGTGACACATTCATCTATGGGAGTTGGTGAGATATCTTTAATCTAAAGAAGTGGGTAACACGTCCCTTGTCTACGGGAGTGGGTGACAGGTCTATATGTCTATAGGGGTTGCTGACACATCTTTTATCAATGGGAGTGGGCAACACATCCCATACAAAAACGTATCAATGGGAGTGGGCAACACATCCCTTACATAAACG